AAAATACTTGAGTTTTCAGGCACAAATGGGTTTATTTGTGTCAGCACGTGGGTTTCCAAGTTTCCTGGTGTGGTCATCTTCACCAGAATGGTGTGAAGAAGAAACTTACTTATTTAAAAAATTAAGTTCACTTCTTGGTAAGTAAGGTATGCATATGGGCAGACTTCTTTAAACTTTTTTAAATTCAGAGGGATAAACGTGTGTGCTGGAAAACTCAAGGATTTTAATTTTATTTAAATAATCATACTGTGCCCTTCAAATGACCTGTTTAATGTCTTTGCCATTTTACAGCATCCTGAGGTTAGCATCACACTTCTCCCAGTGGAGCCCATGACTTCTGATCAGGACGCTAAGGTTGTGGCTGAACCGCAGACGCAGAGAGTCCAGGAGGGCAAGGACAGTGCTCATCTGGTGGGTGCTGTCGAATGGGGTGCTGGGGAGTCCATTGCTATTTTGATAAAGGATTCTCTACTGGAGTTAGTAAGGGGCTCTCAACAGGAACACTGGCACATCTTAGGATCTGCATATGGATATTAGAGTCTTGTAGGGGAGAACAGGTTTCTTACCCATCTGAGGATCATGGCTGAGACCCCCGTAACAAAAGACAGATAAACAAGAGAAAAGCATACACGTGTATTTAGTAATAAGTTGTATGTGACATAGGAGCCTCCACAAAGGAAGAACCCAAGAAATAGGGAAAACTGTGTTTTTTTTTTTACGGAGTCTGATGCAGATGTTGCCAGTGTGGAGAAGCATGATTGGACAGAAGGGATGTGACTTAGAGCTAATAAACTGGAGAAACTTAGCAAGGCTGGTGTGTTCAGGTTTTTCTTGACATCCCTGTGTGATATTCCTCCTGGTACAAAGCAGGGCCCCTCTGGAAGGGTCTTTAGGGAAATGTTGGCTGTGTTATGGCCTGCTTCGAGGGAGAAGGGGTAAGGAGAATTCTTTCTAGTTTCCTTGGCCTGATTCTGCTGTTTCCTCAAATGTCAATGTGCCGTATTTTTGGGGGAGGAAGTCCTGAGCCCCATCAGTCTGAAAAATGTATAGGTAGCTTTGTAGAGGAAACTATAAGTAGTAGGTGATAACAAAAACAAAATTGTTATAACTCTAGATACTTAAAGCCATTTATTTTTTAAATCGAGGCTATGTAGTGATTTGTAAATACTTTAATAACATTATAGTCACTATAGTAGGATGTACTTAAAGAGTTAGGATTTTAATATAAATTTTTTTGACTACTTTTGTTCATTTAAAAATTTTATGTCAAGCAGTAATATTTAAAGTTCCAAAATGGCTTTGAGAAAAGTAGCTTTTCTTAGTTTTCCCTAATGAAACTACAAAGAACTTTATCTATGATGTTCATTCAGAATTTAAAAATTTTAAGCCTCCTACCTTCTGAATATCTTATGAACTCACAAATTTGTCATGTAAAATGTGCATTTCTCAGTGGGTTTAGTTTGGCCCTATTACTGTGGTTTGAAGACATGTGGTGTTGTTTTTTTTTTTTAATGTTGTACTGATGTTGTCTTTGTTTTCAACTTTACAGATGAACGGTCCTATATCTCAAACCACTTCTCAGACAAGTTCCATTCCACCTTTGAGTCAGGTAATTTGATTTTGAGATTAATCACAGATTGTTTAATCACAGTCAAGGCTCAGATATACTTCCTTAAGAAAAATGTTTATTGTAACAAAAATTAGAAAATGTAGATATTTCTCAAAAAGTTGTGGTCGGGGATCCATTCATCACCACACCCCATGGGTATAGTAACTGTCAGTACTGTATGTCCTTACTAGCTTCTGTGTGTGTCTGTTTTGTGTGCAGTTCTGCAAACAACAGCATACCATTTAGATGAATTTATTGTCAAATATTAATCAGAAAATTTTTATTGTGTCGTTGATAATCTGTTGTATGTATATGATTAGCTTTCCATTTTGGTAGCTTATGTTCCTTAAACCACACAGATTGAATAGTAAGCTTTTACTCAGAAAATTTGTTTCACATTTTAGCTGTGGCTAATGAAAGAATAAGGAAGTAGAATTCATTGGTTTTTAAATTCTGCCTTTCATCATTTGCATATGCATATATAAAGTGCTTCAGAGAGCTACTACTCAAAATTCAGTTTGATGGAAGGATCTTATACATTGCATAAAATTTAAAAAGTAAAAATTTTTTATGTAAAAAATAAAAATTACAATAAATCTCATCTATTTCCCCCATTATAAGCAGTTCATGTAGGAATTAAAGGAGGAGTTGGATTGTTAAACTAGTTTTTTTTTTTTTCTCGGTTAGAGACGAGGTCTCACTGTGTGGCCCAGGCTAATCTTGAGCTTCTGAACTCAAAGTGATCCTCCTGCCTTGGCCACCCAAAGTGCTAGGATTACAGGCATCAGCCACCATACCCGGCCAGCTTTTAGCAAAGAAGAATTTTAAAAAAACAAAAGACACCTTCCAAATTATTATATTTTATAAATTTATTTTTTATGTAAAATTTTTGTGTATTCTGTTTTTACATTAATTTTTTTATTTTATTATTATTATTTTTTTGTGACAGTTTCCCTCTTGTTGCCAGGCTGCAGTGCAATAGCGTGATCTCAGTCACCGCAACCTCCGCCTCCCGGGCTCAAGGGATTCTCCTGCCTCAGCCTCCCACGTAGCTGGGATTACAGGCATGTGCCATCATGTCTGGATAATTTTGTGTTTTTAGTAGAGATGGGGTTTCACCACGTTGGTCAGGCTGGTCTTGAACTCATGACCTCAAGTGATCCACCTGTCTCAGCCTCCCAAAAGTGTTGGGATTACAGGCATGAGCCACTGTGCTTGGTGCACATTGATTTTTTAAAAATGAATTTTATAATATTTTAAAGTCATTTTAAATCCAAACATAAGACCTTTGGTAGTCTAAGAAGAAAATTATATAAGACATAAATTAGATATCCCTTGAGTATAAATCTCTAAGGGAGTTAGTTTGTTTCAGCAAGTTCCAGTTCTCTCCATGGTTGACTTTCAGTCCAACATAATATTCAGACATCCACCTATTGCAGGCATTGCTATGAATGTTTTCTAATTAGCATTGTTCATAGTGCACCTACAGGTGTGGAGAGTTACGTGCTTCATAGTTGACCAGGAGTTTGCTTTGGTTTAGTGATTAGGTGGCAGGGCTCAGCCAGTTGTTATGATGAGCACGTGAATACATTTAGCAGTCAGGGTTGAGGAACCAGGCTATTTACAGTTTAGCCGTTCCATTAAAGTTGAGTAGGAGGAGACTTGCAATAGAGATACCCAAAGAAATACCTGAATAATTCAGGAGCAGGTTTGCATTTATCCACTGGTACTATTTAGTTGCATTTATTATACAGCTTCCTGCCGTCTCCAGAAAACTTACTGAGTTAGTAACTATTTACAGGTTTAGCCAAAGAATACAAAAAAGTGATCTTTATTAGACTGTAAGAATATGGTTTCCGTAAGATCGAGACCATCTTGGCTAACACGGTGAAACCCCGTCTCTACTAAAAATACAAAAAATTAGCTGGGCGTGGTGGCAGGCGCCTGTGGTCCCAGCTATTTGGGAGGCTGAGGCAGGAGAATGGCCTGAACCTGGGAGGCAGAGGTCGCAGTGAGCTGAGATCGTGCCACCACACTCCAGCCTGGGTGACAGAGCGAGACTCTGTCTCAGAAAAAAAGAAAAAAAAAAGAATATGGTTTCCCTATTTAATATGAGAACAGTATATTATAATGAGTTACTTGATTGTCAGAATTACTCAAATTTGTGTACATGTGTTTTCTCCACTAAACTGTAAACTTCTGGTACTGTGTTCTGTTCATTAAAAAACAAAACTTTATTAAAGTGTAATTTACATTCTGTAAAATTCACCCATTTAAAGTATGCAGTTGAATTATATTTAGTAGATTTACTGAGTTCTGCAATCATCACCGTAATGTAGTCTTAGAACTTTTACATTACCCCAGTAAATCCCCAGTCCACTCCCAGGCCCACTTATAGTTAGGCCCTGTTTCTCACCCAGCGTTGGGCAGTCACAAACATGCTCTGTGTCTCCGCATTCTGTTCCCTTCTGTGGCCAGCTCAATGCGTTGTGTCTGGTAGGCAGGCAGGCAGCTAGTACTGCCTGCATGAAATTTGAGTGTCCATCCATTCAACAAAACTGAGTGCAAGTGATAATGATGGCTAAGAATTTTCTGTGGAGAGGTTGTTCAGATGAGCGTGGGATACACATGCCTTCAAGGAACCCTAACACAGCATGCAAGGTTGCATGATCATATTGTGTGTGAGCCTTAGGTACAAGATGAGCATACACCTGGAGGTGGGAGGCGCTGGGACATAGGTGAGTCTGGAAGAAGCACTCTTTATCTTGCCCCTAGTCAAGCAAGATCATTTTGAATGTTCTCACTTTGGTGTAATAAGGATCTACTAATTTGAAGTATAGCGTACTAATAGTTATGATTACAGTACTTTGCGTCAGGTTTCCCTGAGTTCCAGGCAGGGATAGTGATGAAACTCTCTAGTCCCTCAATATTTCAGAAACGTGAAGGAAACTAGGACGGGGAGTGGTCAGAGGGATGGAAGGAAAACCAGAGGACAGTGTGGGGTAGAGATAGAGGCAGAGAGGCTGACTCAAGTGAAGTGTAGTAAGGTACAAAGCGAGGGGTCAGTTGTGACCTTAGCAAGAGTATTTTCCAGGACTGATAGGAGCAAAAGCCAGATTGCAGTGGGTGAGAGACAGGAGTGGTAGACACAACTCAAACGGTGACATTCCTCCTAAGGTCTTGACTTTCAAGGTAAGGTGATAGATAGCGAGAAGGGATTGAAAGGATTTTGAGGGTATTTATGATGAGGAGTGACCACTGGCAGTGGGCCACTGCGATGGGTTCTCCTTGAGGAAGAAGAAAACAACCACTTGCATTCAGCAACAGTGTCATTTGGTTAAAGGTTCTTTACCTTCCCTGTTAGGGCCACAAACTTCATCTATAGCAAACGTCATTCTCGGCGGCTTTTTGCCCCTCCTGAAGCCCACTCAGGGACTCCAGTTCTTATTCCTGCGTGTGACCAGCCAAGCAGCTGCTTTTCCCCTGGAGACACTGCATCAGCCTGGAAACCATTTTCTGCTGGAATGATGCTGTTGTGTTTTATCATAAATCAACAGCAGGTTTGAGAGAGGAATGTGAGTGAATGATGATGTTTAAGGAACAAGTAATATTAGATAGAAGTGTTTATGTTAAATTACTTCCTCAAAAGAAAAATGCAAAGTCACAGCAAGTCTTCTAATCATAGTGTGAAACTGGGAAGGTGAAATTGGAACTCTAACTCGTCCTCATACTAAACTCTATGTACAGTTCAGCAAATCAGCTATATCAAAATGATTATTTATTTATTTGTTTTTGAGACAGTCTCACTCTGTTATTCAAGCTGTCTAGAGTGCAGTGGTGCGATCTCTGCTCACTGCAGCCTCCGCCTCCAGGGTTCAAGTGATTCTTGTGCCTCAGCCTCCTGAGTAGCTGGAATTACAAGCATGCGCCACCATGCTTGGCTAATTTTTGTATTTTTCGTAGAGATGGTGTTTTGCCATGTTGCCCAGGCTGGTCTCAAACTCTGGCCTCAAGTGATCTACCCGCCTTGGCCTCCCAAGATGTTGGGATTACAGCCATGAGCCACTGCACCTGGCCCAGAATTTTTTCTTTTTTTAAAACTCCTTTACAGATGGTGATAACAAAAAACTTTCGTCCCTTCCTTTATCAGTTTTCAAAAAAACCACCTTTGCCTTTTGATGACACAGCTTCTGAATGAATATTAATTAGCAATCCCGATTAATTATTGCAGGCTTATATTTTAAATAAGAGTAGGCTTCGCAATCAGAAAGCTTGAATTTCTATGAAAATATCCAACTCCTATATTTATACATAAATGACACATGGCTGCTCTTGGCATGATATCTTGCAGGTTAAACCTTTTGGCAGGTTGTTGCCACCTTGTCAGTCTGTTTTAAGAAAAGACTTGGGCTGGGTGCAGTGGCTCACGCCTGTAGTCCCAGCACTTTGGGAGGCCTAGGCGGGCAGATCACCTGAGGTCAGGAGTTCGAGACCAGCCTGACCAATATGATGAAACTCTGTCTCTACTAAAAATACAAAAATTAGCCGGGTGTGGTGGCACATGCTTGTAATCCCAGCTACTCGGGAGGCTGAGACGGGAGAATCGCTTGAACCTGGGAGGCAGAGGTTGCAGTGAGCTGAGATAGCGCCATTGCACTCCAGCCTGGGCAGCAAGAGCGAAACTCTGTCTCAAAAAAAGAAAAGAAAAAAGAAAAGAAAAGACTTGACTGGGTGTAGTGGCTCACACCTATAAATCCTAGCACTTTGGGAGGCCAGGGTGGGAGGATTGCTTGAGCCCAATTCAAGACCCCATATCTACACAGAAAAAAAGAACAGGCATGGTGGTGCGTGCCTGCTGTCTGAGCTATTCAGGAGGCTGATGGGGGAGAATTGCTTGAGCCCAGGAGGTCAAGGCTGCAGTGAGCTGTGATTGCATCACTGCACTCCAGCCTAGGTGACAGAGGAAGACACTGTCTCTAAAAAAATAAAATAAAAACAAA